CTTGGGCGGAGGGAGCCCGTGCACCGGGCCAGTAGGTGCTGCTGCTGCTGCTGGTACTGCTGCCTGCGCCGTAGCTCCCTGGCTGTGGTTCGTCATGCCTTGGTCCACGGCCATCTCTGGTGTGGCTCGGTCCTCGTTGCCGCCCCTCGACGACTCCTGTGTCGGAGGATTCTGTCCCGTCTGGCTCTGAGAAGCCTGCGGTTGGGACGCCTGCGTCACTGCCGTCTGAGGAGGGGGCCACGCCATTGCTGCACCTGCCGCCCCCCACAGCATGGGCTGAGGCATTCCGCTCGAGGCAGCTGCTGGATTCCCCCCTGGAGGGGGCTGCAGCGGCGGAGGCGGCGGGTGCATCAGCATCTGCTGGTACTCGGCCGTCAGCAGCGGCGTCCCGTCCGCCAAGTGGCCCACGATCGCGGCACTGGGGATGCCCCCTGGTCCTGCGCGGGCAACTGCCTGAGCCCATGTCATTCGCTGAAGGGGAACCTGACTGGGCACCCCTGGCTGCTGAGGCGCTGCTGTCGTCTGCGGCCGACCCGGAGTCGGCACTGGCGTTGCCTCGGCACGAGCCTGCTCCTCTGAGATCCGACGCTGCGCCTCCTCGTCCCACTCCTCCGGGACAGGCCAGGCTGGTGGGGCCTGCTGGTGACCCTCCGCCGGGTCCTCGTCCTCGTAGACGTCGTTGTCGTTGTTGTCGCCTGCGGGCGTCGGAGCACCGACGCCTCTGAACCTGGGAGCTGTCCTGACCTGCTGGACCAGCGCCAAACTCCACAGGAGGCAGAGGATGCCCATCTCTGCTGGGACGATGGGCCTCGAGAGTAGCCCGTGGGCTGGGTGCGCGTGAAAGCCTGAAAGTCTTTCGCCAGAGACTCGAGCCAAGAAAGGCTACGGAAAGAACGCAGACCAGCCCCCACGGGCCTATGATGACATCGAGAGCTCCGGTCTCCCCGTGGTCTCCTGCTTGACGGACCTTAGCTTGACAAAACGATCCTGAGCCCGGTGCCTGTTCGAGGCGGGCCCGCTGAGCCCAGGACCCGATGAGTAGAATGAGGAGGGTGAGGATGAGCGATGCGAGCGAGCACGTGACATTGTAGAACCCCTGGTGGTTACTGAACTCCGATCTGCTCGACACCCTCCTGGACCTGGTGCCTGGCCTAGCCGACCGAAGCCTGGACCTTCTTCTGTGGAGGAGAAGGTGGAGGGAGATCAGGTAGCTCGCGATCGTTCCGTCAGCCAGCATTTTCGGAGGCTTCTCATTACCAAGTGCGAATGAGCTCTCCGTGAGAAAAGGGTATCGCTTCAAAGCTGCGGCTGGCACGGCCGCTGGCTCCTCGAGCGGTCGGACGATCTCGACCATCCGGTGCCCGGAGCCTAGACGTGTCATGTCTACTGTGGCCTGCAAAGCTCCTGACCGCAACTTGTTCCTCGGCAGATCGATGACACTCTCGAGGAACTCAAGCAAATTCACGCTGAGCATGTGCGGCGCAGATTCTCCAAGGACGGTGGTATCTATGATACCGAAAACTCCGCCGAGGCACAGAGGAAAGAGCACAGCACTGATCACCCTGGCCGCACCTCCTACACCGTGCGCTCCTCGAACATGGGCACGGTGCTCTGGAGGGATCTCTACAAAGCGAAGGCCGTGCACCGCGAGCGCCTCGGACTCGCGATCGAGAGCCCCCACGCCTACCAGGTCGGTGCCGGCGCCGGGGTCGATGAGACCCTGAGTGGAGGACGCGGCCAGAAACACCGAGTTGCTCGTGATCTCCTCCTCGACCTCTCTCCAGGCCGGCGCACTCCAGCCGCCCTTCGTGTTGGAGGCCACTCCCTCGAACATGTACGCCGAAGCACTGCGGCGGGGAGGAGGAGGCCTCCTGCCGCCTGTGTCCTTCTTGACGGTCTCCTTCTTGGCTCCACCGGCATTGGGGCACTCACGTCCCCAGTGCCCTTTCTCGTGACACAGCTTGCACTTGGTGACCTTCATCAGCTGCTCCTGTGTCAAGAAGCGTCTCCGCCCAGGTGGAGGCCTTCGTCCAGGTCCGCCTCCGCGCTCACTGCCTCGGCCCTCCGGCCTGGGAGGTCCTCCGCCTCGGCCCTTGGAGCCGAAGTACTCTCGATCACGGCGGGCAGCACGCTTCAGGTCTTTGTTCTGCTTCCAGGAGCGGTTGTTCGTCAGCTCTGCCATGACCAGCTCGATGTCGTCCTCTCCGATGTCCATGTCGTCGATCTCCGCCATCAGCGCCTCGACGTCCTCCTCGCCCAGCTCATCGCTGCCCTCGTCGCCCTCGTCGTAGTAATCCTCGTCGGCTTCTTCCTCCTGGTGACTGCCACTGTCGCGAGCCCGACCTGCTGACCGACCGAGGTGAGTTGAGGAGGAGGGAGAGGACTGAAAACCAGGAAAAACGTCAGAGCGTGCGCCCGGACCTGAGTCCTCAGGAGACGCCGATGTCGCCAGCATGCTGCCCGGCCCAGCCTTGCCTGGCAGCAGCTTCTCGGTCCCGAC